TTCTGCAGTTTCCGCATTTCTGCATTTCTTCAAATCGATACGTATGTAATGCTTTTCGTCATTTCTGCATTTCTTCACGGTCGCAAGCTATGAACGCGGCCTTATCGACGTGTTTCCCACGGATGGGTGACCTGATGGTGCCTCACTGTCCCACAAGCTACCCACACCACACCAACATTAACTAACCCCTCCCTGCCTGCCCGTTTTCCAAAATCTTTGGCAGTTATCACTGAGAGCTCCTCACCAAACAACCACCACTATCTACTCTAATAAATAGTGATAGTAAAGTAGTTCTGCCTCTTTGTCAACTAGGAAGAGGGCGAGGCACGGGAAAAATCAGCCATAAAACTTTTTTTCTCGTGGGCTCCCCATCCCTACACAGCGGCCAGTTTACAGTTTTACTTCTTTCACTGTGTTTTCACAAGGGGTACTAAGCCTTGCATCCACCTACAAGTCAGCGCACAACTACGGCAAGACAGATTCTTAAAGACTTAGAGCGCGTTCAGACTTCGCGATAGCGCGATCCTAATGGGATGGGTGAAATTCAGCGGCGGCGTTCATGCTTGTTCTTGTTTAATGTTCCTGTCTTTCTTTTCTTTTTCTTCTTCCTTTCCTTCTTTTCTTTTTCTTCTTCCTTTCCTTTCTGTTCATAACGCCTTGAGTTCTCGAAAACGTTACGAAATTGCTTTAGTTCGTTTTCTATACTCCCTTTCAATCTTTTTTTCAGATTCGGAATTTCGCAATCTCGTACACCGTCTCAGGGCAGTTGCACTTGTCAACCGAGAAGCCTCTCCTCTCTCTTTTTTCTTCCTCCCTCCTTCTTTTCCTTCCTTCCTTCTCTGATCCCTCCTCCTTTACCTTCTCCCTTCAACTACTGGACTGGTAGATGCCTCGTGAAAATAACCCTGGACCCTCGCAGCGAGAGCACGTCTGGTTGACAACAGCCCCGTAACCGAAAGCAAGAGAAAGTGTCATGTTGAAAAAAGAGCACCCACGAGATTGCGAAATTCCGAATCTGAACAAAGATTGAAAGGGAACATAGAAAAACGCAACTAAAGCAATTTCGAAACGTTTCTGAAAACTCAAGGCGTTATGAACAGAAAGGAAAGGAAGAAGGAAAAGAAAAGAAAGAACAGAAACATTAAACATGAACAAACATGAACGCCGCCCCGCTGAATTTCACCCATCCCATCGCGCGATCGCGAAGTCTGAACGCACTCTTACCGCCACGGGTTTCGGATGGCTTTGCATAGCGCTCTTTACAATGTCACTTCAATATTGCCTTACGTTTTGCTTGCAGGTGAAGCGTATTCAGTCGGTTCCGTTGGTCATCGGTCAGTTCTTGGAAGCTGTAGATCAGGATCATGCTATTGTTGGCAGCACAACAGGTGACTCAGACTCTTTATTCCTTTTTTCCATGAAAGGTAAAATCTCAAAAAATGAGTAGGAAGCAGAAAAAAATTAGTAAAGGTGTCGTTTAAAGTATTATGTAACGTTCACTTCGATCGCTGCAGAATTTCTGGAGTTTTCGTGGAGACTTGTTTTTTTCTCGGAGATCTTGTTTAGCTATCTACCAACTATATTACAGGTTCGAACTACTACGTTCGCGTGCTTTCAATATTGGATCGCGAACTTCTGAAGCCTGGCTGCTCAGTTGCCTTGCATAAATATTCCAATGCACTCGTCGACGTTTTACCTCCAGAGGCCGACAGTTCGATTCAGGTGAGGGTATCGCAATTGTTCGGTACATGAATGCTTTAACGATGTTCATACTTTGCGACTCGTTAACACAAGCGATGCGTCCCCAAGTAAAGTGAAAGTATGGATCGATTAATTGGGAGAATGGGAGAACATGTACCAGAGGCGATGCTCCTGTTTTCTCTGTTTGACAGAGCCATTATTATACTCTCCTCTAGTGCGCATTGTGCTGTTCCCTTAATCTCCTGTTGTCCGTAATCGCAAAGTATGAACGCGACCTCACATGCCAAACACGCTTCAACTAAACTTGCAAAGATCCTATGGTTGATTTCTTGTGGGTGGTAATCCGAGACGTATGGTTTGCTGGTCAAAACTCTCCCAGGCAATCTTTTCTAAAGAAATATTGATGGTAAAGTATGGGGATGCACGCGGCCGGCTACATCCCTTCCTCTGAACCGCGAGGACGGGATTGCGCCGCCACACTGCGTCAACTGTTCGTGAGGGATTCTCGTGGATAGTTGACGTGTGGCGGACTTGCTCCCATCGCATGCTTCCCCCTCGCAACTACAGTAATGTCGAAATGTTTTCGATCTGTGGGTTATGTGAGTGGTAGTATTGTGTATGCTGTGTTAGATTGGTTGATCCCAAAGATCCCTTCTATTGATGTCTTAATGATTTTTGGCGCACTCGGATGCGTGGGGTACACTCACCGTCGATCACTGCCAATGCCTCCCGGACACCGTGTAGACCTGTAAGGCTGTGTAAAGCTGCTTATTTGCACGGGATTACTTCAAACGTGACCAGGGTTAGCAGGTCTCACGGAGGTGAAATGTGTATCTTAACTGGTTCTAGCAAAAGAAGCTAACGAAAGTGCATGGTATTCCTTCTTTCCCCATCCCCCCACCCCGCCTTTATCGAGCAGCTCCTATTTTTTCATCCGGGGGGAAGGAATAGGGCATTCAGTGGCCTATTGTCCTCAATTCAATTTTTTATGGTTGTTTTGCAGATGTTGCGTCCTGATGAGAAACCGGATGTTTCTTACGCAGATATCGGAGGCCTTGATATGCAGAAGCAGGAGGTACGCGAGGCTGTTGAATTGCCGCTCACTCACGGCGAACTCTACAAGCAGGTCAGTTCTTTTCGTAAGTAGACTTCAAATTTGTATACATTTACATGTTATATAATCCTTTTTATTCGTGCATGGTGTACGTGAAATCCAAGGCAGTAAGATTTGACAGTAACCAGTAATCTCAGATTGGTATTGACCCACCACGTGGAGTTCTCATGTATGGTCCTCCTGGGTGCGGAAAAACTATGCTCGCCAAAGCAGTTGCTGCAAATACAGCTGCATCTTTCATAAGAGTCGTTGGATCAGAGTTTGTTCAGAAATACCTCGGAGAAGGTGCGTGTTCTGCACATACCATGCAAATATTTTCCGACACAGTTTTCTTTGTAACCGGGAAATACCTTTCTTTTCCAGGTCCTCGAATGGTGCGTGACGTGTTTCGTCTAGCCAAAGAGAATGCTCCATCTATAATCTTTATTGATGAAATAGATGCTATTGCGACGAAACGATTTGATGCGCAGACTGGAGCGGATAGAGAGGTTGGTAATTTTGGGTTTCTAATTAGGTCAGTGATATTTTTCCGAATGGCCATGGTTATGAGAAGCTTGTATGTTTTCAATATGGTCATCTTTGCAATATCATGCGAGTCTCTTCTGTGAAAGGCAGCGGACCAACCGCACCATCAAGCAGCAGTCGAAAGTGATAGTTGGACGACGACGTGGTCACTGGGCGAGACCGTGTTCCCTGCTAGCAGATGGCGCTTTCCTCACCTATTTTTGAGCTGCGGACTTAGTACAGCTCGACGCTTGCAGGCAGCCTACCACTTCCAGAGAAGTCGCTTGAAAATAGAATGATTTTGGGCAGGCCTTTTGCACACGATTACTGCTGCTCAATAGAGTTTTGCAAAAAATGGCCATTACTAGCTTCAAAAAAGCTAGTAGATTGACGGGTGGAGGGCAGATCGAGAAGACGGCACGAAGCTCGCGCAAAACTACGAAGCACTCCTTTTCTGCAAATAAGTAGGTTTTTCCTGGAGTTCCTTCACTCCTGGGAATCAGCCAATTGTGTTTTGCAGTAACTTCTCAATTCATTTCTTCCTATTGTCTTTAAGTTGGCGAAAATCTTTATATCCGCTACTGTAGTCTTGGTTTTGCATAGGAAGACCTTCAGATATCCCCTACGCCACGACGCGCCTTAACTCGGATCCAGTAGAAAAATTACCTTTTGAAAACCATGAAGCCTTTTTCTTAATTTGTTTTCATTGCGGTACTTACATTTAACGGTTCAAATTTACTTTGTCAGTGTTCCAGGTTCAAAGAATTCTCCTTGAGCTTCTAAATCAAATGGACGGCTTCGATCAAAGTACTAACGTTAAGGTAATCTACTACTTACTTGTAATGCATGTATTTTTGAATTTTCACTGAATCAGTTTATTCAAGGTGATAATGGCTACAAACAGACACGATACGCTAGATCCTGCTCTGTTGCGACCCGGAAGACTTGACAGGAAGATCGAATTCCCGCTTCCAGATCGGTATGTTCCTTTCCAGTACTGCGACTGATGAGGCATAGGTATTCAGAGTAGAAACTCCCTTGAAATTAATTTCCTGGTCAGGATCCATTTATGCTTTCCGTTTTGCGTTTTGGGCGAAAAGGAGGTACAGGTAAATACCTGAGTGTCCGGGAGAAACCATCATCGCTTTTGAGCGAGTGTGAATAGATTAAATAAAGGCAATTCCCGCGACCTCACACTTCATAGTATACAGTTCAAAAAGTAGAATTGCCCCTGGTGATTGTTGGCTTGAAGAGAAGGAACCACGAAAAAGCGCCCGCAATAAGACCCTCTTTATTTCAATTGATCATGATCACCGGACGAGCGTAAGGTGGTCAAGATCAATTGTGAATTGCGAAAGGCGGCGATACACTGAAGAGACGAGAGAGGCCAGAAAACGACGGGCGAGAGAGCGCATGGAGTGACCGCCAATGACACGGTCACAGGAGGCCGGCATGGGCCTATTGGGCGCCAATGGGCCTAAAACCTGAGCGCCGCTGCGTTCTGCTTGCTGTTTTTCAACTTTTAAAAGCAGTATAACCTCTGACTGTTGCCTGCTTGATCATCATACACGTTATGAGGTCCTAGCCTTAGTTTATCGCGGAACGTGCCTTTTAAGTGTCGATGGGTGTGCAAAACGTCGATTCTTTCAAAACGCTGGCTTTTCGCTCACAACGGTACTTCGATACTTGCCCTCTCGCTCAAAACGGATTTACTCTCCCCCAAAACGGCGAGTCGCGAAGTATGAACACAGCATAACCTTTTTGTGGTCCTCTGGTTCGAATATATTTTTTTTCAGACGTCAGAAGCGCCTTGTGTTTACTACGATAACTTCAAGAATGAACCTGTCAGATGACGTCGATCTTGAAGACTACGTCGCAAGACCGGATAAGATATCTGGAGCTGATATCAACGCCATTTGTCAAGAGGTTCGTAGACAGAATTTTGAGGAAGTATATCGTTGAGTGAGACTACTTTCTTTCCTTTCAGGCTGGTATGCATGCAGTAAGGGAAAACCGCTACGTCGTACTTACGAAAGATTTTGAGAAAGCTTACAAAAATGTGATCAAGAAGGATCAGAACGATTTCGAATTCTACAAGTAATCAACTATCGCCCCGATGACTTCAGCCAGGCCTATCTCCAGCCTACAGCGTCCCTAACCACGTTTAAAGTAAACTTGCACTGGATGTATCTCATGTCCAATAAAATATTTATTTCGTTTTTGTTTTCCTGTGTTGTTGGGATAATGTGAAAATGGGCGCATTTCGGGGGAGGGGCATTTACCACGCTTTTTCACATCGACGCGTCCATTGTTTTCCAAGGGTCAGGTATTTTCATAGGGGCTGGCTGGCGGTTTCTACAACTGTGGCTGGTATCATTACGTCCGGCTTTGCGATTCTAAAAGGCTGCCGTTTGACTGCTCGACACGTCGATGGGAACTAGTAAAAACGCCAAATGCTCTCCCCCCCTCCTCTACGTCACAGAACTGAGCTTTGAAATATGACCGTGCTATCCTCGATATTAGAAACATTCCACGGTGATAGTATGGCTGGGCCGGAACTGCATCTTTGGTTCATCCCATCTTTCATCATGGCAATGAGAATAGAAGTAAAGCAAGGTGCATTGGTGCAAGTGATCAGCTGTTGCTGTGACCTTCCTGTGCGAAAAGGTTATGA